GTCAAGATATACATAGTCCTATATACTATTATTATGTAAGTCTACATCATAAGTAATGTAAGAAAGTCGTCTTACACAGGGTCGTGTAACATAACATGGTCAACCATGGCTAACCATGATCTGCATGTGAGCCATGTTAGTTCATGTTATTTCATGATAAAACATGATACATTTCACCAAGGGGAAAAAATTAACATGGTAGAACATGGTGTCAGTAGACATGATCTACCATGTTATTTAATGGTAGACCATGGTGTTAGCAACCATGGTTAGGTGACCATGAAAAGCTGTGGTGCCATTTAACAAAACATGGTCTACTATGGTAGTTTATGGTTACAGGACCATGAAATACCATTGTAGTTCATGGTAGTTCATGGTTAAATGACCATGAATTTCGCCTGGGTAGCATCATGGTTGACAGATGAATTTGCAAATGGTACAGATGAATTAGCAAAAATGGTACAGACCCTGATCAGACTGCATGAATGTGTCATCTAAATCTGATCTTGGTCTGGTGGTCACCTGTGTAGATTTAGTTGTCCCAGGCTAATGGTTAGTGCTTAAAGACTGCCAAACGATCAAATAGGTTTTTGTTAGCGTAAAGAAAAAAATAGATGAAAAACAGCGGGCAGCCAAAGATACAAATCTATTTGAGCCGCGTCATGACAAAACCAAGGTAATGCGTTTGCGACCAGCATGGATCCAGACCAGCCTGCGCATCTGCGCAGTCTGATCAGGATCCATGCTGTTCGCTTACAAACCCTATAACAACACAAATACGATTAAGAATTGCTAAAAAAAAAGTCAATTTTCAATTTATTTATATTTGTTTGTTATATTTTTGGATAATAATTTGTTTTGTTTTAAGTGCTCCCCCAGGAGTTGATCCATGCAAAATTAAGTTTTGTCACGTTTTAGTCTTTGGACCTCAGAGGTTCAGCTCTTTTAAGACAAAGAATAAATAATTATTTAAAATATGTAGGTATCGAAAACTATTATGTTATAATCATAAAATCAAGGAGGGTCATGTAGAATTTTATATCTGACATTTGTAATATAATCTGTAACATGAATTGGCAATTGACTGTAACAGTTTTAGTTGATTTTATTACTACCTCCTCTTCCCCCCCCCCCCCCCCCCCCCCTGCCACCTCCTACAGAAACAATTTTAGTACAGCCAAATTAGTAAGAACTCTGATTATAAGTTATAACAGTAAAATCAAACAAACTGATGAAGAAAATCTCTCGGTAGTAATGGTTACATAGTTTTGTAGTTTTTGTATGAAGAAGCTGATAATTGTGGAGATGTGGGGATACAATTATCAGCCTTATATTGTCAGTATCAAATTTATATTGATTCATGTTGCCATAATGTAACAAACTGAGAATATCTGGTGGTACAAATTTCCCTATATTGCAGGCATTGTCTATGAAAGGATACATGGCTTAATGAATAACTATTTGAAGCAATTTGTCCATCAACTTTTATTTATTATAAGGATATTTACTCTCTGCTACTTCAGGTCTAAAAAAATTAAATATTGAACATTATATCATTGCAAAAATATTTTAATGGCTGACCACCTATTTTCAAAAATATTAATCACTGACCAAATATTTGCAAAAAAAGTTTAAAGCTCAATACATAATTGCTAAAATACTGACAACAAATTTGCTAAAATATTCAACACTGAACACATAATTTCTGAAATATTCAACTCTGAGCACATAGTTGCTAAAATAATTAACACTGACCACAATGTTTGCTACAATATTCAACACTGACCACATGCTTCTTACAATATTCAACACTGACCACATGCTTCTTACAATATTCAACACTGACCACAATGCTCCTTACAATATTCAACACATACCACATGTTTGCTACAATATTCAACACTGACCACATGCTTCTTACAATATTCAACACTTACCACATGTTTGCTACAATATTCAACACTGACCACATGCTTCTTACAATATTCAACACTGACCACATGTTTGCTACAATATTCAACACTGACCACATGTTTGTTAATAATCAACACTCACCTTATATTTGCAACAATATTCAACACATAATTGAAAAAAATATTCAACAATGACCACATACAATCACGTACTTGCTAAAATATTCAACATTGAACTTATAATCGAAAATTATTGAATACTGATGAACACATATTTTCAAAAATATTCAACACTTTACACAAAGTTGTAAAAGCATTCAATACTGAACACCATTTTGCAAAACTATTCAAAATTGATAACACATATAATAAATACTTGCTTGCAAAATGCTCACCCTCAGTTCACGTACTAATCAATACTTTCCATTGACCATATTTCGCACAACCAGACCTGACCTGTGTTTTCATAGCAACATGCAAAATATTCTCACTTGACCCATTTATGGGCCTTTCAAAATCACAGACATGAACCCCAAATATGAATGAAATAAATGGTTTTATTAATTAAAAGCCTGAATACCTGAAGAGGATACTGTGATGGGATGGTCACTATGTATGCACATATGTCTGTCATTTTATATCCTTGTCCAGTCAAATCACATATAAAGGATATAAGCCATGGCTTATGTAACTTGGTAAGGTCATAACAGTAGGTCAAAAGTCAAGGTCACACTGACACTTTTTGTAAAATCTCAACTCCATGAGATGTAACACACTTAAGTTTGTGTAACTTAGTATGGGCATTCCCTATTGGCAGAAGATAGCCCCTATAAACTTTGAGGTCATATAAAGATGAAAGGTCAAGGACACAGTGAAACATAATGTTTAAACTTTGTCTAGTCAATAACAAAAGTAAAAAAAACACTTAGGTTTGTTTAACTTGGTTAAAGCCCTGTAGATGACCTCTACTGATTTAAGGTTGTCATTTTAAGGTCACAATGACATTTGATGTGAAATCATTGTCTGTATCAAATACAAGTTTTCTGTCATATGTTTGTGAAACTTATATACTTAAAGCTTTTATTATTATATATACATGTATATATTACCTTTATAAATTTAAAACTTGACCGTTATCAAATAATGCATTAGTTTGTAAATGTTATGGCAACCAAATAGAACAGACTAATGAAGTGTCCTACCATATGTATGTAGTCATTTCTAATTTTGTACTTGCATATTATATAAGCCATGACTGAAGTATTTTTACCATATTAAATTGATTTTACTTATGATCACTGACAAAATACTCCTAGATCACTCCTTAAATTGCTGTTTTATAAAAAAATATTCATCCCTCAAAACTTTCAGGATATTCAACCCTGATGATAAAACAAAATCGTGATATAGTGATTATTGCTACATGTATATTTTTCATTTGACTCGCGTTTTTACAGAATTTTATTTTTCCCGTACAACATGTAAACCACCTATACTTTGGTCCAATTACGGCATAGCATGTGCGTGCGTATGAGACAACGTATTGATTCTTTCAAAACATGCTCTCTGTAAATCTATACAGACCTTAAGCCATCTCTGCTGTATCAAAACTGCATCTTGACATAAACAAATTTATGATGCTGTATTTAAACATCTTCATGTGCAGTGTGCATGCCCTTATCTCAAATTGATTTGATTTATAAGCATTATTTTACGTAACTAAATGTTGATCTAGAGATACACATGAATAATATGGAATGTTCTTGAAATATTTTTTGATGAATTCAACAAAAGTTCTTTATGTAGATAATGATAATATTGCATTTATATATGTGTGGCTTTAGATTAAAAAAGTATAACATACTGTAAAATTGCTATTAATCGCCCCTCCCCAAATGAAAGACACCTTTGAAACGGGCTATAACTAACTGAACAATTTAATCCATTTAGTCTGGAGTTCCTTCCCCTTCTACTACTTTCTATAGTGAATGAAGGCAGGGAACTAGACTAGACTGTGCATTTAACGATAATTAAAACAAGCAATAATGACATTTATATTATATATGTAGTTGAGATATAAATGGATAAAGAATAACATTTTGCCATTTTGTTTTGTATATTCAATGATCACATTAGTTTGAACTGTTTTCTGTCTGTTGCTACTGGTTACTTTGTCTACCTCTAATTACTCAAAGTAAAACTTCCTATGTACATTCTGAATGCTTTTGACTTCGAGCTAAAGTTAAATATCATCATGTTACAGTGAGTTTCAACAAACATAATCCTTCCTTGTCATGTGAAGGAAGAATAATTCCAATGAGAATCAGATAAAGAAGCTAGAGTTGAGCCTTTACATTTTCTAAAATTTTGACTTTCACTAAACATTGGTAGGAATTTGTGTATCATTCTGATTAAATCTATATGTACAAGTACCGTAAAATTCCTAATAGACGCCCCTTCCCTAATAAAGGCCCCCCAGGCCTTTTGATAAGGAAAACAATCTACTCATCAGTGCTGAACTCAAAATTAAAGCCATAATTTTATTCAAATCATTCAGAATCCATAGTATTTTATAGTAAACACAAATATGTATAATATGAACTTTAAAACCTTAACACTTTTTAATGTTATTACCAACACTTGCTAACACTAAATGTATTTACAGTGATTTTTGGATTTAGGAAAAATTGCATTGTAATAATAGTGCCCCTTTTGGAAAATGTTTAGCTCCCTGGGGCGTTTAATAGGAATTTTACGGTATAAGTTATATATGTTTCACCCTCTACTCCTCCTGCAAATATTTGTTATTTTGTTTTCAGCCTGTTTTTGAGAAAAACAACTTCCATTTACTTACAGTCATAAGGACATATAAGATACTTCAATGTAACCTCCAAAGTTACTTCCCTTTTATGATACTTAACCATTTGCAGTTTACAAATAACTATAAATTAATTGTTCTTTTATCAAATAAGCTTGCAAAAGTTAATGTAGCTTTTGTGATATTCTTAAATACAGATCTATTCACATGAATTGAGATTTCTTAATATGACACATCTTGTTTATATATATTTTTCCTTCTATCTTCAGATGTCTGGTCAAAAATACACTCGTACAAATTTTGAGGAGGATGAGGTGTCAGGAGCGGGAACCCCACCACCGGGAGAATTCAACACATCTGTTGTCTATAAAAGAGGTGGTGGTTTAAAGTAAGTTTTTATTAACACTGTAATGATGTGAAATGGTCTTTTTTTGAGACTCCTAAAACAGTTATCAGAATAGTCCATTTTAAGCTTGACTTTTTCAACACTTGTTGGTTTTCAAATATATTTATTTAAGCTCAATTGTGAAACAAGTTCTTGCAACTTATTATATCATAATATTAATCACTTTTGAGTCCACTTCCTACCAACCTGCAGTACTGCATGGTGTCCATGAAGAACCATGGTCATGACCCGATTAGGGCTCGAACCCATTATCCACGGGTTGAGAGGCAGACACTTTAACCACTAGGCCACCGCTCCCCTTCAACACTCATCACAACAGTTGAATAATTAAAGTATAGCTTGATCTATGCAATGACCTTGACGCTAAAGGTCACATATGAAATTTGAATAATTTTTGTACAAGAAAATGAATTGTTTTCCCTGCTTAGCAGTGGCTCTTGTCTATTGTAATTCATGTAGTATTAAATTTATTGACATTTTGTTATTTAAAACAGTTAGAATTGAATAGGTTTGACTGGTGTCAAAGGCTAAGTCACTTTTAGTTCCAGCAAGTGGAGTCAAGTAATATTAACTTTTAAAAAGTCAGCTATATACAAGTTAATAGTAACACAAGCTGTATAAAGAGCTGGCTTGTAATGTAAATGGTTGATCCGGCCTATAGTGCATGTTAAAATAATTTTGACTGATCTGAGCAGATAATGCTTATGTTAATATTAAAGAATTCATGGGACTGTTTTACAGTCATCTGTCTATTTTCTATATTACAGAAGCCACCACTTCATTTATTTAAGTTAAAATCAGATAAAAGAAGTGGAGGTTAACTGTAAATCAAAGAATAGGAGTGGCGACTAACTGCAATATATTTTTCACAAATTCTTGGATTTTAACAAAATATGTGCAGAATTTGTATCCACAAGTTGGATGTCGGATAATTTTTGGTTGTCATTTATTAGTAACCGGTTGTGGGGACTGGCGAGTGGTTATAGGTCAGTGACCTAATATTGCCTGATTATTGAAGGCCAAACACTTTCATTTTGGTACAATTTGGTTTTATTAACAGAACATTAGGTTCGATTACTTTAAATATTATACCAAATGTTATACAGTGATATAAAACTTGACATAATGTTAGATTACAGCTGAGAAGATGAATGCCCTGGTAATATAGAGATGTCTTATTAGGCAGATGAAATACACTCGGGGGACATCTTAGGGGAGATTTTCCTGATGACAAATCATATCCCGGCTAATAATGTTATTTACTAGAGAAATGAGGTTAATTCAGTGTCTTTTATATGACAAATAAGCATTGTTTGTGTGTGAACTTTTCAACTAGCAGAGATATTTAATCAAAGGTTTGGTTTCCGAGAAAAAAAAAGACAACAACAATGTCTTAATTTTGTAGTTAATAAAAGGTTTTAGTGAAGAAAACATCAGCACATTACTCCTGTCAGGTACAATTCGAAAAGAATTTTTTGAGATTTACTTTTAACCCTGACTTTATGCTGAATTTGTACGAAGGATTGGTCCTGCTTTTGAATTTGTGGTCTTGCTTTTGAATTTGTGGTCCTGATTTTAAATTTGTGATCTTGCTTTTGATTTTGTGGTCACCTTGCTTTTGAATTTGTGGTCCTGATTCTGCCTTTGAATTTGAAATTGTCTAATTAAGTGCAATCGAAGACTTTGATATCAACATTGAACAACCTTTTTATACATAGCAGACTAATTTTATTACCTTTTTTAGCTCACCTGAGCATATGCTCAGGGTGAGCTATTAGGATCACTCTTCGTCCGTCGTACGTCGTCCGTCGTCCGTTCACACTTTTCAAACGACATCTCCTCTGAAACCATAAGGCAGATCATAATGAAACTTCACAGAGATGTTCCTTGTGTGAAGCCTTAACAAAGTTGTTCAAAGAATTCCATTCCATGCAGAACTCTGGTTGCCATGGCAACCAAAAGAAAAAACTTTAAACATGTTCTTCTAGAAAACCCAAAGAGCTAGAGCTTAGATATTTGGCATGAAACATCTTCTAGTGAGTGTCTACCAAGATTGTTCAAATAAAATCCCTGGGGTCAAAATTGGCCCCGCCCCAGGGGGTCATTGATTTTCCCTATATGCATATAGTAAAAACTTAAAAAAATCTTCTTTTAAAGAACCCAAAGAGCTAGAGCTAAGATATTAAGCATGAATTATCTTTTAATGAGTGTCTACCAAGATTATTCAAATAAAAGCCCTGGGGTCAAAATTGGCCCCGTCCCAGGGGGTCATTGATTTTCCCTATATGCATATAGTAAAAACTTAAAAAATCTTCTTCTAAAAAACCGAAAGAGCTAGAGCTTAGATATTAGGCATGAAACATGTTCTAATGGATGTCTACCAAGTTTGTTCAAATAAAAGCCCTGGGGTCAAAATTGGCCCAGCCCCAGGGGGTCATTGATTTTCCCTATGTGCATATAGTAAAAACTCAAAAAAATCTTCTCTTAAAGAACCCAAAGAGCTAGAGCTAAGATATTAAGCATGAAACATCTTCTTATCAGTGTCTACCTTGTTTGTTCAAATAAAAGCCCTGGGGTCAAAATTGGCCCCGCCCCAGGGGGTCATTGATTTCCTTATATGCATATAGTATTTTTATGCCACCGCAGCATCTGCGATGCGGTGGCATATAGCGATTCACCTGTGTGTATGTTTGTGTGTGTGTGTGTTATATAGATTATATAGTGAACTTAAAAAATCTTCTTGTGAAAAACCACTAGTCCAATTTCAACCAAACTTGGCAGGATTGTTCCTTGGGTGAAGGGCTTCCAAAGTTGTTCAAAGAATTACATTCCATGCAGAAATCTGGTTGCCATGGCAACCAAAAGGAATAATAAGAATGAATTTAAAAAATCTTCTTGTAAAGACCCAAAAGGCCTAGAGCTTAGATATTTTGCATAAGGCATTGTCTGGTAGACCTCTAACAAGATTGTTCAAATTATAGCCCTTGGGTCAAAATTGGCCCCGCCCCGGGGGTCATTGATTTTCACTATATGTACACATAGTAAAAACTTAAAACACCTTCTTGTAAAGACCCAAAAGGCCTAGAGCTTAGATATTTTGCATAAGGCATTGTCTGGTAGACCTCTACCCAGATTGTTCAAATTATAGCCCTGGGGTCAAAATCGGCCCCGCCCCAGGGGTCATTGGTTTTCCTTATATGTATATAGTAAAAACTTTAAAAAAAATTCTTCTAGCAATTGACAAATGCTAGAGGTTAGATATTTTGCATGAAACATTGTGTTGTAAACCTCTAGCAAGATTGTTCAAATTATAGCCCTGGGGTCGAAATTGCCCCCGCCCTGGGGGTCATTGATTTCAATATATACATATAGTAAAAAATAAAAAAATGTTATTATCTGACGGTACAAGGCTTAGAGCTTTAATATTTGTTAAATAATATCATCTAAAGGTACTCTGTAACCAAAGTTGTTCAAATTTTGCCTCTTGTGTCAAAATTAGCCCCGCCCTTGGGAGCCATAGGTATATCTTATATGTACCAGGGGGTCATAGATTTTCCTCATGTGTATATAGTTAAAACTTAAAATCATCTTCTCTAAATTTACAAAGGATAGAGTTAAGATATTTTGCATGAAACATTGTGTAGTGAACCTCTAGCAAGATTGTTCAAATTATAGCCCTGGGGTCAAAATTGGTTCCGCCCCGGGGGTCATTGATTTTCATTATGTACATATAGTGAAAAAAAAATTTTTTGTCTGAAGGTTCAAGGCATAGAGCTTTGATGTTTGATATATGATATCATCTATATGTCCTCTATCAAAGTTGTTCAAATGTCAAAAATTGGCCCTGCCCGGGGGCAGTGATTCTCATTATGTACACGTAGTAAAAACAGAAAATAAAACAAATATTTTCTGAATGGGAGAAAGCTATAGCTTAGATATTTGACTTGAAATGTTGTTTGGTGGACCTGTATCAAGATTGTTATTAAACCCTTGGGTCAAAATTATGCTTTGCCCAAGGGGGAAAGTGACCTACTTTCTTGTCCTTTGATGTACAGCAATGACATTTTGACCATGTGCACAGTTTTAGTTGTAAAATTGAACTTTGACCTAGATTTTGATGATGTGACCTACTTTCTTGTCCTTTGATGTACAGCTATGAAATTTGAGCCATGCGGTGGCATAGCATTTTTCTCAAATGCAATCTTGTTTTAAACTTTAAAAAATCTTCTTCTAAAAAACAGAAAGAGCTAGAGCTTAGATATTTGGCATTTAATATGTTCTAATGGATGTCTACCAAGTTTATTCAAATAAAAGCCCTGGGGTCAAAATTGGCCCCGCCCCAGGGGGTCATTGATTTTCCTTATATGCATATAGTATTTTTTTAAACTTTAAAAAATCTTCTTCTAAAAAACAGAAAGAGCTAGAGCTTAGATATTTGGCATTTAATATGTTCTAATGGATGTCTACCAAGTTTGTTCAAATAAAAGCCCTGGGGGTCAAAATTGGCCCAGCCCCAGGGGGTCATTGATTTTCCCTATATGCATATAGTAAAAACTTAAAAAAATCTTCTTTTAAAGAACCAAAAGAGCTAGACCTAAGATATTAAGCATGAAACATCTTCTAATAAGTGTCTACCAAGATTGTTCAAAATAAAAGACCTGGGGTCAAAATTGGCCCCGCCCCAGGGGGTCATTGATTTTTCCTATATGCATATAGTAAAAACTTTAAAAAATCTTCTTTTAAAGAACCCAAAGAGCTAGACCTAAGATATTAAGCATGAAACATCTTCTAATAAGTGTCTACCAAGATTGTTCAAATAAAAGCCCTGGGGTCAAAATTGGCCCCGCCCCAGGGGTCATTGATTTTCCCTATATGCATATAGTTAAAACTTAACCCATTACTTCATATACACGCCTTTTAACGCCTTTTTCACCCCCCCCCCCTTTTTGTTGTCTCAAATGATGAAAAAATGCCTTATTTAGGCCCAAAACACTTGTTTTTGTTTGAGAAATGTTGTTAAAAAAGTGACCTCTTTTTCGGCGCGGCCCCCCAACCAAAAGATACATCAGGGGGTTTCATCGCCAAGAAAATTTTGGACTTGTGAGAGGCTGTAAATGACCCCAGATTGATCATAAGGTAACGTGTAACCAACGCTGAAAAGCATTTGACTCTATCTCAATCCATTGAGAAGTTGCAGCACTTTGAAATCAATTTTGATGGAAAAAATCAACGCAAAATAGTGATTTTTGGCAATTTTGAGATGTCCCCTCGTTGCCATGGTAACAGAAAATTTAAGCCTGAGCATGTTGTTGCAAGGGCAATGGTCCAGTCAACATTTGTGCCAAGTTTGATTAGTGTTGAAGCAGTTTTTATAGTATTATAGCAATTTGAACTTGTAACGGGAGACTTTTCAATGAAAACAGCCATTTTTCACAAAATGCTCATGAAGCAATGGGTTAAAAAAGTCTTCTTCTAAAAAACCCAAAGAGCTAGAGCTTAGATATTTGGCGTAAAACATGTTCTAATGGATGTCTACCAAGTTTGTTCAAATAAAAGCCCTGGGGTCAAAATTGGCCCAGCCCCAGGGGGTCATTGATTTTCCCTATGTGCATATAGTAAAAACTCAAAAAAATCTTCTCTTAAAGAACCCAAAGAGCTAGAGCTAAGATATTAAGCATGAAACATCTTCTTATCAGTGTCTACCTTGTTTGTTCAAATAAAAGCCCTGGGGTCAAAATTGGCCCCGCCCCAGGGGGTCATTGATTTTCCCTATATGCATATAGTAAAAACTTAAAAAAAAATCTTTTAAAGGAGCCAAAGAGCTAGAGCTAAGATATTTAGCATGAAACATATTCTAAATGGGTGTCTACCCAAATTTGTTCAAATAAAAGCCCTGGGTGTCAAAATTGGCCCTGTCCAGGGGTTATTTGATTTTCCCTATATACATAGAGTAAAAAGTTAAAAAATCTTCTATTAAAGAACCAAAAGAGCTAGAGCTAAGATATTTAGCATGAAAACATGTTCTAATGGATGTTTACCAAGTTTGTTCAAATAAAAGCCTTGGGTCAAAATTGGCCCTGCCAGGGAGAGGGGGGAGGGGGCAAAAGTCATTGTTATTCATTATTTGTGTATAGTAAAAACTTAACATCATGAAATATCTTTTAATGGGTGTCTTCCAAGTTTGTTCAAATAAAAGCCCTTTGGTTTAAACTGGCCCGGCCCTGGGGGCCTATGTTCAGGTGAGCGACCCCAGGGCCATCATGGCCCTCTTGTTTCTTGTTTCATGTTTAAATCGAGTTTGTAGGTCAAGACTGAAATGTGAACTTTTTTTTGTCCTTTTATTACAGGGGTCGAAGGTCATGGCTGGAGGTGATATTACTTGGAACTTTAGGAGTTGCTTCTGTTACAATCATAGTTCTAGCTGCTCTTCTTGTGTCCAGGGACAAACAGATTGGTCGATTAAGTCTTCAAAAAGCCAGTGTCAAAACAAATAATAAACCTGTAGTCATAGCAACAACAAGGAAACCAGAGGTCAAACCAAAACGTATGTTGAAATTTTGCTGAAATTTGTATAGTAATGTTGAAACAAGAATTCATATAAAATTTCATTTTAAAAATTGCATATTATGAAGAGTATGACACAGCAAAACAAATAAGTAACAATAAATTATTATAATAAACAGTTCAGCTTATTAAACAAAATAGATTCTTGAAAATTTTAATAAGTTTGTAATTTTGTAGAAAAAACATCAAGAATGTTGCAAACATACATGTAGTTGTAGTGTCTGGTTATTATAGCTTCCTATAATATTTGCAGGCTTAAAAATCCTCTAACATGACAAAATTATTCTAAAAATAGATATTCGAAAGCTGTAGAAAGAACGCGAGAGCCGCCTCGGGTTTTCATGATTTTAAATAACCAACATTAGCCGATTTGAAAAACAATTTTTTAGGGTTCATAATCCTTAATGTTCCTTTTACATGTCCTTGTTCTTTATTTACAGCTCTATGTTTGACACCAACATGTATCACGGTTGCAAGTATGTTGATAAATTCTATGGACACTAGTGTTGACCCGTGCTCGGACTTTTACTCGTACGCATGTGGTGGTTGGATTGACAAGCATGTGATACCCTCGGGCCACGCCCGCTGGAGCACATTTGGCGAGCTGTGGAAATCAAATCAAGAGGTCATGAAAAGGGTCATAGGTGAGAAATTTAAGCATTAAATTTGGCAATAAAAATTATGAGATATACATTCATCAATAGTTACCGGCGAAAACCAATATCTGTGACTGACATTACAGAAGAGAGGTTATTTTGTGTATGTTAACATTTTTATTTAAATACACAAGACTTCTTTTTTAAAATCCTGGAGAAAGTGTGGTCCCTCGGAAGCACTAATCACAACAAAATTACAAGAAAATTGCAGTGTCAATTTCAGTTGTTATTTTGGAGGACTGAACTCATGATCCCTGGCATGTAGTCAGGGCTGGCTCTTATGATGAAATGTGATTTATATTATTTACATGTATATAAGCACTTAAAATGCTTAATATCATAAATGGACTATCCATTTTGACAAAACCATTAATTATTTTTAGGGAAAATTTGAAAAATATTTGAGCCACGCCACAACAAAACCAACATAATGGGTTTGCGACCAGCATGGATCCAGACCAGCCTGCGCATCTGCGCAGTCTAATCAGGAGACATGCTGTTCACTTACCAACTCTATTACTAGTAGAGAAAATGATAGCAAACAGCATGGATCCTGATCAGACTGCGCAGATGCTCGAGCTGGTCTGTATCCATGCTGGTTGCAAACCCATTATGTTAGTTTTGTCATGACGTGGCTCATTTACTGATTGAATAGCAAATAGTGCAGACCATTGATCAGATGGCACAGATATGCAGGCTGATCTTGGTCAGTGCTTGTTGCAGGGGTAGATTCAATTGTCATCAGTAGGTGGATTAAACACAGAGATGCCATATAGTAATAGCCAACAGGTTCTTTAAATTCTGCTAATTCTGTCTTGTTGTGAAGAAATGAAGAAAGTATTATTAAGGTTGTTGTTGATGTTGACTTCAAACAAAATGTCAAAAACTCATGTTACAATTCGGATCTACTTTGTACTTCCTACATAGAAGCTAAATTATTTTGATTTGAGTGAATAAAGAAGTATAGTAGGTGTATACAAGAAACCTTTCATGTGCTAGACACTTACAGAATCATTTACTTTACAACTGAGCCTTTGTTAAACAAAAAGATACAAGGCTGCATGCTTTAACTAGGAGCAAGATTTCCCGAGATAAGACAATTTAAACACAATAGAGTTTGATAACACTCTGGGAAGACAACTATTGTATTTCGGTAGGCACTCATTTATTAGTTTGTTTTGATCACTAAGTTCCACACCAAATTATATATAATGAATATTTATAGATTTTGCATATTAAGTCTTAAGAAATACAAATGTACACAAGTACTGAATAATCCCGGTCATGATGTGCCTGCATCTTATATGAGCACAAGAGTGACATAATAGAATTTAGGTAGTCATACTGTAATGCTTTCCTGCCAAAAAATTTCTAACATCGACCAATGTCCTCATAAATCGGTCTTTTCCTTAACCTTATTTTTCACAATTTTCAGTATTTAATAAATCTTAACCATTTATAACCTAAATTTAGTACATATCGATAAGGAACGAGTGATTTTAAAAAATCTAATATCCAAGGTTCTGAAAAAATAATGTTCCGGAAATAACCGATTTACTTCAATATTTACCGATGAAATTAGAAATATTTGGTGGGAAAGCATTAGAGTATGACTACCTTAATTAAACCTTATTCTGATGATTTCAGAGAGACCAATTAATTCCACGCAGAGTGACGCAGAAATAAAAGCCAAGCTCTATTACCAATCATGTATGGATAAAAACAAAACAATTAGTGTGTTGGGTAGTAAACCTTTAGAAAATCTTGTACGATTATTTGGCGGATGGGCAATATCTAATAGGACTGGAGTTTGGGACAAAACAAAATGGACTTTACAGAAAGCTTTGGAAAAGATGAAAGTGTTTGGTGTATTTTTCTCGTACTACATCGGAGAGGATGATAAAAATTCTACATATAATATCATACAGGTAGGGTTACAAGTTCAACACTTCAACATTTTTTAAAAAGTTAGTGTCACTAATGACTTATCTGCCCAAATAGCTTGATATGGAGAGCGTCTGTCGGATCTGTATTACAGGGAAATTGGCTGCTTTAATCCTTGAGCAAGGTAAAATTTGATCTCGGACATAGTCAGTGTAATGGTCATTTGTCTCTCACTGCACCACTGATACAGAAATCATATAGGATTAGTAGTTTGTCTGTGACTTGCAGAGAAATGTATTTTTGGGTTCCTTGGTTAAAAGGTGTGGTAATTTGAAAAAATGAAAAAGAATGAATGAACTCATTTCTTACACACTGCTAAATGTTATTTTGTGCTGTCTAGATTCCTTCCATATTTTCATTTTGAAGGAAATGTAAGTTTGTAAGCTACAACTGAAATGATAATAATTTTACATTGTATTTTTGAAAAATAATAATAATTTTACACTGTATTTTAAAAATAAAAACTTATCAATTATAGTCTTTCTCAGAGGTGAGTCCTAGACTTGCAGTCATGTGTATTTACAACCAATATGACAAACTCAAAAGCATTTTTCATGCACAGGATTTGACTTGATCTGTTTTAAATGAACAGCAGCAGCCATTAGGTTTTATAAATTTATAGCATACAATGTCTTAACATTAACCTATGTATATAATGTATGTGATATTAAACGTTTACTTGTATAATTTCAGGTGGATCAAGGGGGTTTAGGCTTGCCAGAGAGAGACTATTATCTAAATAAATCAGTCTCCGAGGACAAAGTAAGTAACATACAGACACATTTTGTCACAGATTAAGACAAATTCTATGGCTTCTGAAAATGTTAACTTAGGTCACCTGGGAAATATTATTTGAAGATAGCCTGTTATCTTTGTTTGTTTAAATATATTTACTATGGAATGAACTTCATTTTTTTTGTCTCACTCAAAATCTGCTCTTTAGTTTATAATTCTCTGCAGAAAAGTGACAAAATATTTATAAATATTTTTTTTACAGAATTTTCATCAGTATTCTTAAATGTAAGAAAATGTTAAGGTCAATAAATTGATCATCTAATACAATGTAAACATAAATAAATCGTCTCCTTAGTGCAGTAATGGTTAAAGAGTTATTATCAACATTGTGGTAAATGCTTTAACGGAAATAAATGACTTTTTATATGCAAACATGGTGACATTTTATATGGAAGTATTTTAAATGATAATTATTTTTTTGTGGAAAAAAAGGCATTTTTTTATTATCTGAAGCGCATGTAAGCGGCCATTGTTGACCCGCTTATGCATCCGACCTGGATGTGAAAGATGTGCCTGTGAAAATTTGACTGTTGGACCCAGATGCGCGTTTAAGGCCCCATGATGTCATGTGGCTTTGACGTCATGTGGCCATAAATGGCTGCCTGTAGTTGAACTGAGGAAATGTAGAAAATACTTTGTCTATGTTATTGTCTATATTGCTAATATGCAATACAAAAACAAAAATGAGCTTCAATAATTATTCTGATAAAGAAACTAAATGATTACCAATACAGATGAATCCCCTTTAACTTCTTATGTAATTTATAATAGGAGTTACCCATTTACTGCATTAAGGTATTTCAATTATATTTAAATTAAAAATTTTGATATTGTAATCCTTTCATTTTAGGACTGACTGTTCAAGTTGTCCAAATTGATAACACAAATTTCAGGGGTTTAACCTTTGGCCTTTGATAATTCAACCTCAGAATGATATCAGTTAAGAAAATGTTAATTTGTCCTGAGAACATAAAAGGTTGTGGGCAGATGTTAAAGAAAATACAAAGTTTTTGTGATATTCTCTGTGAATATTTTCATCTATTTAGAGCAGTTTTACCCATTAAACAGGAGTGGTGTATTTTCCATCTGTAGTTAAAGATTGCTTGTTTACCTCAACAAATAAAGCATAAAACAAATATTAAAGACCAAAAAAAAAAATGAAAAAAATGTCAACTAGTAATTATGCCAGAGATAATCAGTAAATTCCGATTATTAAATTACCAACAAAAGGTCATTGAATATTCAAATGTCAGGTCAATATTGCCAAACAAAGATTTCTTGTTTACTTCAACAAATAAAGCATAACAAAATAATAGACAAAAACAATGTCAACTAGAGAAAAATAGAGTAATTATGTCAGAGATAATGAGTATGTTATTTGGATACACTTTTCTTAATATCATGAAAATATTTTTGTTCTTCAATACAGACATTTTTTTTTCACCCACTCCTTTTCTCTTTAAGGAAGAGCTTTCCTTATCGCCGATTGTATCAAATTGGAGATAAAAATTTATACCTTACCTTGGTTAAGTTTCTTTTCTCAGATTTAGCTTGACTATTCAAAAAATAGGAAGAGCTGTTGTACTCACCAAGCCGTCTGTGTTGGCATCACTTTGGTTAAGTTTTTGCATTCAAGTATGAGGTAAGGGGTTTTTTGTTTTCATTTTAGCCTATTTTTTTAGACTATTTAAAGAAAAGTTCTCACCCAGGCAGCAGTGTCAGCATCACACTTTGGTTAAGTTTTTGCATGCTATTTGGTAATTCTTCAAAACTACTTAAAGGGAGATACAGGCAAAATTTTCATTTCTTCGTTATGAATTTTTCATTCACTCTTCTGTAAATGTCCTCAAAATGAATACACTAGGCAGTCAGTCACAGGATCAAAACTTTTCTCCTTATATAGAATAAAATGGTGGCTAAGTTCATAACTTGACCCATGTGGGTCAGGTTAGAGCGTTAAGATTTCACAATAGTTGTCACAGTGGACTCTTGAAACGTTCAAGAACATGTTAAATGAATGACTTAGACTTGTTTCAATCGTACATTATCCATAATATCTGTTATTTTTGTAACTTCCAGGGTTTGTTCAAGTCACATGACTTGTTTTAAAACTACTCAGTGATTCTGTTGGTGTCTGAATTATTCTTTCAAAATATATACATATATTTACTCTTCAAACCCAAAATATATGGAATTTATACATAAATTCATGCTGGGACTTTAAAAAAAGTAATTTTAGCGTGATTTGAGTAAATAACATCATTTTAATATTTTTATACATAAATTCATGCTGGGACTTTAAAAAAAGTAATTTTAGCGTGATTTGAGTAAATAACATCATTTTAATATTTTTATACTATTTGCAAGGTCACAGGGGCCTTGACTTCAAAAAGCTTGTCCGCCCAATAACTTAAGATTCCTTTGACCCACAGTCTTCATATTTGACATGGAGGCTAGTCATGATAAGTAGATGACCCCTATTGACTTTGAGGTCACTGGGTCAAAGGTCAAGGTCACAGGGGCCTTGACTTCAAAAAGCTTGTCCGCCCAATAACTTAAGATTCCTTTGACCCACAGTCTTCATATTTGGCATGGAGGTTAGTCATGATTAGTAGATGAACCCTATTGACTTTGGGGTCACCAGGTCAAAGGTCAAGGTCACAGGGGCTTTGACTTCAAAAAGCTTGTCCGCCCTATAACTTAAGATTCCTTTGACCCACAGTCTTCATATTTGGCATGGAGGTTAGTCATGATTAGTAGTTGACCCCTATTGATTTTGAGGTCACCAGGTCAAAGGTCAAGGTCACAGGGACTTTGACTTCAAAAAGTTTGTCTGCCCAATAACTTTAGATTCCTTTGACCCACAGTCTTCATATTTGGCATGGATGTTGATCATGATTAGTAGATGACCCCTTTTGATTTTGAGGTCACTGGATCAAAGGTCAAGGTCATAGGGACTTTGACTTCAAAAAGTTTGTCCACCCATTAACTTAAGATTCCTTTGACCCACAGTCTTCATATTTGGCATGGATTTTGATCATGACTATAAGGTGACCCCTATTGATTTTGAGGTCACTGGGTCAAAGGTCAAGGTCACAGGGACCTTGACAAAAAAAAAGCTTTTCTTAATTGCTAAAGAATGTCCTGTCCGCAATGTATTGATTTTGACATTTTCACATTTGAAGCATGTAGAATACATAACTTAGCAATGCACTGGCTTAGTAACCTCAGATTTGGCAGGGAGGTTGTCCTTGAGCTCTAAATGGCCACTGTTGATTCTGACAAAGTGGTATGCGATGATAGTGGCAGTTCTAGTTGTCATTAATTTGCCTGAGTATCCTAGGGAATGGGTTGAAACATTACACACTTATTTCAGAGCATAATAGGAGGTCACTGTTTAAGGGTTTTAACTTCAACATGAAATTTTACAAAATTATAGCCGTTTTGTATCCAGGCTCTTGTTTAATATCAAGCACTGAGAATAGTTGAGTTTGCTGTCCTTCTGACTGCTCTTGTTATTGTTATAAAATTTGCAACTCTCTAATCATCTGTAAACCAGAATTAAGATATACCCTTGCATTTTATTTTTTAATGGAATTATAATAGATAAGTATGATATTTTAAATAGTCTCCCCTTTTTCAATATGACAGGATAAAACAGAAGATGTAAAACCATCAGAATAAATTGTTATAACCTAAAGTAGCTTTTTACAGACTAAAAAGTGGTTTAAACATTCTAATAAATGCGAGATCATGCTAAACCTGATGTAATATGTTATGTTTCCTATTTGCGATCGTGACATTACGTTCATCTCCCTCGGGAGAATAATTCTTTCCTGGTGACAGAATTAGCCAGAGTACTAGGAAGTTTATTAAGAGTGCTTGTATAAATGAGCCGCGTCACGACAAAACCAACATAATGGGTTTGCGACCAGCATGGATCAAGACCAGCCTGCGCATCCGCGCAGTCTGATCTGGATCCATGCTGTTCGCTATCAGTTTCTCTACTTGTAATAGGGTTTGTAAGCGAACAGCATGGATCCTGACCAGACTGCGCGGATGCGCAGGCTGGTCTGGATCCATGCTGGTCGCAAACCCATTATGTTGGTTTTGTCATGACGCGGCTCAAATGAGTGTGTTTCCTCTTACATCTTATCTATCTAAACTCTTTAAAAAAATTAGATTAGACTGGAGTAGACTTTCACAGATGTAGGTATATTTCTTAACTTCCAAACTAAAGTGATGGGTGAATTGTTGTGACAGATAGAATAATGGCACAGACAGTGTAATTATTGCTGTTTAAAGTGCAATTTTAATATTTCTTTTTTAAACAGGAAATAAAATAATTAAAGATTACAAAAATCCGTAATATACAAATTTTAAAGTGTATTTTGAGCTCCACACCCAAATGTCATTGATTGTAAGTGCATTGATTGGGAGAAAACCCTTTTTAAGTCTGCTTTGTTTTTATGAGATCTGAAAAAAATTCACTGCAAAATTAGAATAGAATTGTATATAACATAAAAAGTTTTTTTTTGTTTAATGTTTTTTCAGATTTAATGATCTAATGTGCGTAATAAGACCCACACTTGGATAAGGTCACTAAACAAACTTTTAACTACAATAAAAAAGTTTTAGGGGGGCAATTTTTGTTATGTCCACCCTTTCGACACATACAATGGGGCAACTGTCCAGCATTGCAAAAAAGGAGACAAATGTCCAGGGGGCAAATGTTCTTGAATTACTTGTCACACTGAAGTGAGATATATATCATATTTACTCAAAGCAAAGAAAGTCTATTACTTATCATTGCCAGAGAAACAAGTAAATCGGGTGTTTGTTTAAGTTTTTCCATGATAAGGTCATAAGGACTGACTTATATCATGGAAAAGCGCAAAACAAACTATATACAGGAGAAAATGGTAGTGATCTTACTATAGTGACACCATAAAATGTTGTCTGGGAAA